ACAGAAGAACAGTGCAATCACAGATTACATGATACCTTAAAAAAGGGGCAAATTTTGTCAGAGATCTGTTGAAAAGATGACGAGAGTCCAAAGTCTAGTAGGTCTCTTTAATATAAGGGCACATAAATCTTGTACTTAAGAATGTTCTCCTTTCTCAAAAATCTTTACGTACTATGTGTCTTCCATTTTCTAATGAATGTATATGCTAAACTAAAAGATGCATGATATTTGTTTTTTTGCCTAAATTTTATCATTTTTTGTTACTAAAGGAGAATGATGCATGATTTTTGCTTTATATTTTTTTTTTGAAATAAACTATCATATATGATGCTGAGGTTTGGGTATATAGAAGGGAGTTGAAATTTTTATCATATTTTTTTTAATATCTATTTGTTTGTAATTCTTATTCATTTGAAATAAATAAACACAAACAAATGCAACACGCATATGCTCAAACAAAAGTACACTCGCGAACAGTCACGTTTAAATCTTTGGTCTGTGGTCCCTGCAAGAAAAGTGCATTGTATAGGACAGTTCTAATCTCACTGGTCTTAAGGCCCCCAAGGTGCCCCCATTATAGGGACCCAGTATCTCTGTCGCCGTCACCTGGCAAAATCTAAGGTCTGTCGCAATATTTCGGGCTAGAGTAACCGGTTATCACCTTGAGTGTGATTTCCGACAAGGCTCGCAGGCTCCAAGGCCAAACTTGGGCCGGTCGTACGTCAACCACTCCCTATGTTTATTACCCTCATGCCCCCGGGTGTAGGGGAAACTGTTGTGTACCAAGGATTGTGTATAATTTTATTCAAACAGGTGCAAAATTTAAACAAGCAAACAAATATGAAAGCCAAACAAATAAAACAAATAAAGTAAAGGAGAAAAATATTTAAATTATTATTTTTATTTTATTAACTTCATCAATTAAATGGGCCTGACCCTCTTTAAACATCCCCAGTGGAGTCGCCATCTGTCGCAACCCGAAAATTTTCGATCTTGCGACTAATGGTTTAGACATCCTTTTAAAAGTCTCATCAATTAAGGAATGCCCGGACGCCAGACTAATCCTTAATTAATGGTTATGAAAAATGAGTTCATGGAGTCGCCACCAATGTTTTACTCAAAACATTGGAAAAAGAAAAAGTTTTTAAAAATCCAATAATGGCCTTAATAACCAGAATTTGGTTCGGGGGTCGATTACGGGTAGGGAAGGTATTAAGCACCCCTACAACGCCCTCAATTGGTACCCTATGATGAAGTTAATGTTATAAACAGTAATAATGTAAATATTAAATCCCCTTTTATTAATAACTATTTACATGCTTAAAATTTAAATTATACAATTGACCCTAAAATGTCTACATGATTGCTTTTATTATAAACAATATTTATCAAAATATAAGAAATAAAAGAGAAAAGAAAATTAACTGAAATACCTCTTGAACGAGCTCTATTAATCTTCAAATATGGAGTTTTTAGGTGCTTTGTGACAACCTTTCACACTACAATAAGCCTCACAAAACTCAAGAAATACAATAGGAAAGAGAGAGAGAAATTTCGAGTTATAGGGAGCTTTGGACGAATTTTTTGGAGTCCTGAGAAATGAGCCCCAGTTGTCTATTTATAGACTTCAGAAAGGGTCCAGAACGACCCGTTCCAAAATTGGAACGGCCCGTTCTAGATATGACCGTTCTGTGTAAATTTTACAACTGGAACGACCCGTTCTGAAATTAGAACGGCCCGTTCCAGAGAAAAAATCAATACATCATTTGGTAAACTGGAACGGCCGTTCCAAAGAAGAGTTTTTTGGCCATTTTCTTAACTTGGAACGGCCCGTTCCAATTTTGGAACGGCCTGTTCCAATCTTGGAACGGCCCGTTCCAATTTAGGAACGACCCGTTCCATTTTAGGGTTTTTGACCTTTTGGGAGCCTCGGAACGGCCCGTTCCAACTCAAGAACGGCTCGTTCTGGACCTTGGAACGGCCCGTTTCGGGCCAATAAAAATATTTAATTTGTGCTTTTGGACCCTCTAAAGTCCTGTCTTCTTGTTGGCATGCTTCGGGAGCTCCTTCCCTTCATAACAGTGGTTCATGTCCTTGTTTGTATACCCCTTGGACGAAATTGGGTGTCTACAACTACTAAGAAATTTCCTAAACAATTTTGGATTACATTATTTGTTGGATAGTTATGAAAAGAATTTGTCACAAGGAACCTTGAAGGTTCATATATTATATCTAACAAATAATATATTCCATAAATTAGGTGCATTATTAAAACAACTAAGGTAGGAAAAGTCCTACACAAAGGAAGGCTATCTACCTTAGGCACCACCAAGGAAGAAGCATGAGAAGTAGAACTAAGTGAAGTCCACTTCTCCTTCACCAAATCTTGAAACTTTAAAAATAATAGATTTGTGAATTTGTTCTTCAAGACTAGTGGCAGTGTGAGGGTAAGAGTTAAGGTCTTTATGAATAAAGAGAATAGTTTTCATAGGTTCTCTAGTCATAAAGCAATTCTCTTTAGACATAACTCCCTTAGAAGATATTTCTTCCTCTTTACTCTTCCCTACTTTTTCTCTTTTTCTTTTATTTTTCATTTGTGCTTGATCCTCAGCCACTTGTTGAGGTGAGAAATTTCTTTTCCTTATGAGTGAAGGTGATTTCATTAGTAAGACCATTATGTATAATTTTCTTTTCAAATTACTATGGTCTTCCTGACAAAATATGACAAGCTTCCATTGGTACTATATCACATAAAGCTTGGTCCTCATACTTTCCAATGGAAAACTTAACCTTTACTTGTTGGTCAACTACTATGTCGCCATCCTTATTAAGTCATTGCAAATGATAAGGTTGAGGATGTGGCATAGTAATTAAACTCAACTTGTTTACCAATTGCACCATGAACCACTATCAACAATGAGAGAACAAACATTATTTAAAACATTACATCTTGTATGAAAGATGTTCTCTCTTTGTGATAGGGTACCACTAGGTTGATTATGAAGGATTCTCCTAAGCATTAGGAGCTCTCCTTCATAAGGATAAACTGGCTCCACTTTGGACTTTTGAAGCTTTGTTTCAACCTCACTCTCACTAGAAGAGGAGGTAGTAGTCTGTTCTTGACTACTATAAGTGTGATGCCCCCTTAAGATCATGACTTTCTTTGTAAGGCATTGAAAAGCAATGTGGTCTCTCCCTAGACACTTGAAACGTTTAATATCACTAGTCTTTGTGCTAGTGTGTGGAGTGATGAGATCTTTATCCTTATCTCTAATTTGCTCTTTCTTTTTAGCCAATTCCTTGGAGGGTTCTGAAATAATATTATTTTCCAAAGATTTTTCTTCCTCCATGTAATCTTTCTTAAGAGATCTAGAGGAGGAGCTTTCTTTTTTAGAAGAAGATTTTCTCAATATTTGTTGTTCTACCCTTACACAAAGTTGAACCAAGTCATTTAGGTCCTTGTAGGGTAGTAGCTCCACTTGGTCTCTAATCTCTAAGTTAAGACCACTTAGGAATTTGGCTACTGTGGTGGCTTCCTCTTCCCTTATACAAGCCCTCATCATGTAAAGCTCCATTTGTTGCCTGTACTGTTCTATAGACATATCCCTTTGTTGAAGCCTTTGGAGCTTATTCATAAGTTCCCTTCCATAGTAGGTGAGAATGTGCCTCCTCCTCATAACACTTTTAAGATCATTTCAATATTGAATTGGAGGATCATTATGGAGGCGCCTTTCTCTTTCTAAGGTCGTCCACCAATACATGGCATGCCCTTGAAAGCTAAGGGTAGCCAGAGGGACTTTTCTCTCTTCACTTACCTTGTGACAAGCAAAGAGTTGCTCAACCTTCATTTCCTAACCTAGATATAACTCCACATCATCCTTTCCAAAGAATTGTGGGAGGTCAACTTTGACTTCCTTAGGTCTTATTATCCTTCTAGGTGGAGGTTGGTAGTGATCCCCTTGATTCATACTTTCATTAGGGATGTATATTGGGAATGTGAGCTCCTACATTTTTTTTTTCTATGTTTCTTCATATCTTTTTTCAATTTTTCTTCTTCTTGCCTAAGAATTCTCAATTCTTCCTCAAGATAAACAAGTTGACCTTCTCTTTCAATTTTATCTCTTTTTCTTTAAATAGTCTCTTGCTTTTTCCATAGTTTAAGTGATTTGAGCTCTTTAGTAATGTATGAAAGAGTTTTTAGAGAACCATCACTTTCACTATGTGAGGAATCTTGAGACATGATTAGACAGAAAGGTTTTTCACACAAAAATAGTTTTTAGAGAAAATAATTTTTTTGGAAGTACTTAGACTTGACACTTAGAGGTCTAAAAGTACAAATTGAACTTTAGAGGGAGGTGAGCTACTAAAGAGCCACTTAATAATCAATTTTTTTCAAGTAGAAATCTCTAAACCCCCTTGTACATTTTCCTTGCACAAAATAATTTTCACAAAGATATTTTCAAAAGAAAAATAACAAGCAAATGCCTAAAGTGTACAATTATTCAATGCTTGAAAACATAAAGTGCTTCAAAACATAAATGGCAACAAAACATAAATTGCTTGAAAACTTAAATTGTCGAAAACATAAAATGCATGAAAACCTAAATTGCAAGAAAACTTAAAGACAAAAAAACATAAACTAGGCGTTTAAAGCAAGTAAACCTAGGTGAGAGCTTGGAAAGTACCAAAGACTTCTAAGGACCCTCTCACAAGTACTAAACGATTTTACTACTTGAAAACACTAAGGAGAGATGGAGATACACCAAAGGCACTCCAAGACACTCCTTAATAAAGACCTTGTACAAAAATGAAAGAATTAAAAAGTTACAAGAAAATAAAATGCAAATTTACATCAAATGAAATGCAAATTCACACTTAATGAAATGTAAATTCACACCAAATGAAATGTAAATTCATAATCAAATGAAATTAGTGGCTTCACTTAATTTCAAGGAAAACAAAATTAGCCACTAACTAGAGACGAATTTAGAGACGGATTTTGTAAGAAAAATTGGTTTTGAGTCAAAATTTTCCGTCACTAAATTAGTTTCTAAAGTTCACAAAAATTTTTCTAAAATTTGTTGCTTCTTTTCTTCCAACTCCAGCCACAATGTTGCTTTCCTCTCAAGTGCATCACTCCACTTTTTAGAAGTAGCCTTGATATTGGATACTTTTAGGTGTTTAGAAACTCCAAGCCACAAATCCAATGGAGAACAAACTCTAGGTCACCACCAAAAGTCTTCAATGTGACTTCCCATGACAAATAGACATAAAGCTGAGAAAGCATAAAGAATCCCAAACTAGGTCATATTATTTCACCTGATCACATGATATTTCATGAATATATACTTGCAACATACAATCACAGATATACATAAATCTTATAAAACAAACCTGCCTTGCAAAATGAGGTGAAGAACAGTGCAAAATTCTGCATGATACCCTAAACAAGGGGGAAATTTTGTCAGAAATGCTTCACAAGTAACTTAGTAATATGTCCGGATTCAATTTTGCATAATACAGAGACTTACTTGTTCCTCACTTAAACCATATGAATATGCCTCAAGAATATTGGTAGTGTTCCCAAACTTAAGGGCTGCCACTTATGAACACAAAAAAGACAGATACACGCACATAGAAACACATACAAAACACAACATGCACACACAAAGACTCAAAGGCAAACAAAGGCACACAGCACAGAGTACAAACACAGAGCACACAAAAATGAGCACGCAGAGCACACAAACACAAGCACACGCACAGGGACATAAACTAAGCTGTTGATATAAGAAAAAGTAGGACAGAAAACATAGGAAGAAAACATAACCTGAACTCTAAGAAGAATCTCATGCAAAAACTCAAGAAACTTATTCACAACAGCTTTTAAAAAACTTCCAACAAGCTCTTAAAACCAAGGATACTGTCCAACAACATACCTACCAAAAGAAGCAACGACATATTATTAAACAGAGGTATAACATCATTTAATATTGAGCAAATCAGTACAAAAATATCCCTTACATGATTTTACGTGTAATAACTACTTTGTTATCTTTTGCCGTTGTGATTTGACAGAGTTATAATAGATCCCAAATGACCATGACAAAAAATATGTATTCCTGCCACATAAACATGATGTGAGTAATAATTGTTTCAAAAAAAATCACAACCAAAAGATAAAAAAGATACATGTTGTGTTCTCAATCTTTTTTTAATTTCCCAAAAACAAAAGAGTCGGGTTCTTTGGACCAATATCTTCTCTAGGGTGCTTTTTATTAAAATAAAATACAATTACCTATAAAATAAATTTTAACTAGATTTTAGTTATATTTTCGATGTGAGTAATAATTGTTTCAAAAAAAATCACAACCAAAAGATAAAAAAGATACATGTTGTGTTCTCAATCTTTTTTTAATTTCCCAAAAACAAAAGAGTCGGGTTCTTTGGACCAATATCTTCTCTAGGGTGCTTTTTATTAAAATAAAATACAATTACCTATAAAATAAATTTTAACTAGATTTTAGTTATATTTTCACGTTGTGATTTCACAAAGATATAACACATCCCAAATGACCATGACAAAAAGTACGTATTCCTGTCACATAAACCTGATCTGAGTAAAAATTGTTTCAAAAAAAATCGCAACCAAAAGATAAACAAAGATACTTGTCGTGTTCTCAATTTCTTTTATGAGATGTTAATAAGACATTCAACACCCAAAAGCAAAGTAGATGTATTCTCTTTACTGGATTCCAGAATTTAAATGTGAACCTGCATAAACAGAAGGGTATCACCACACCAATAAAGATGTTAACAGACTTGAACACTAATCAAGCAAACTGAAAAACTATGAGCAAAAAACAGAGGAAGAGGTGCTATACATATGTGAAAAAAAACTAATTGACATGACAATTCAGTATATAGAAAGGTGGGTCCATTCTTAAACATGCCACACGCATGATATGGTACACATACACAAAGCATAAAAATTCCCAAAAGTAGGACACATTATTTCACTTGATCCATGACATTTCATGAATATATACTTGCAACATACAATCACAGGTAGACATAAAGCTGAGAAAACAAACCTCCCTTGTGAAATGAGGCCAAGAATAGTGCAAAATTCTATATGATAGCCTAAACAAGGGGGAAATTTTGTCAGAGATGCTTCACAAGTAACTTAGTAGTATGTCTGGATTCAGTTTTGCCATAATAGAGAGGCTTACTTGTTCCTCACTTGAACCATATGAGTATGCCTCAAGAATATTGGTAGTGTTACCAAGTTGAAGGGCTGCCACCTGTGAACACAAAAAAGACAGATACACACACATAGAAACACATACAAAACACAACATGCACACACAAAGACTCAAAGGTAATCAAAGGCACACAGCACAGAGTACAGACACAGAGCACACATAAATGAGTACGCAGAGCACACAAACACAGGCACACGCACAGGGACATAAACAAAGCTGTTGATATAAGAAAAAGTAGGATAAAAAACATAGGAAGAAAACATAACCTGAACTCCAGGATGAGTCTCATGCAAAAACTCAAGAAACTTATTCACAACAGCTTTTAAAAACTTCCAACGAGCTCTTAAAAACCGAGGATACTGTCCCACAACAAGCCTGCCAACAGAAGCAATGGCATATTATTAAATAGAGGTATAACATCATTTAACATAAAGCAAATCAATACAAAAACATCCCTTACATGATATTACGTACAATAACAACTTTGTTATCTTTTCCCGTTGTGATTTCACAAAGATATAAAGGATCCCAAATGACCATGACAAAAAATATGTATTCCTGCCACATAAACATAATGTGAGTAATAGTTGTTTGAAAAAAAATACCAAAAGATAAACAATGATACCTGTCGTGTTCTCAATTTTTTTTAATTTTCCAAAAATAAAGGAGTCAAGTTCTCCGGGCCTATATCTTCTCCAGTGTGCCTTTTATTAAAAGAAAATACAATTACTTATAAAATAAATTTTTAACTGGATTTTAGTTATATTTTATGTATTAGCTATGTATACTATCGTTTATCACACTTTGAAAACACAAGTTTCAGCAATCATAAATCATAATCATAACATAAGAAATAGACAACCATAAGACATCAATGTTAACATCATCATACCTTAAAATCCTCGGTATCATCTACATATGAGATGTTGAAAAGACATTCAAGACCCAAAAGCAAAGCAGATGTATTCTCTTTACTGGATTCTAGAATTCAAATGTGAACCTGCATAAACAGAAGGGTATCACCGCAACAATAAAGATGTTAACAGACTTGAACACTAATCAAGCAAACTGAAAAGCTAAGAGCAAAAAAGAGAGGAAGAGGTGCTACACAGATGTGGAAAAAAAACTAATTAACATGGCAATTCAGTACATAGAAAGGTGGGTCCATTCTTAAACATGCCACACGCATGATATGGTACACACACAAAGCATAAAAAATCCCAAAACTATGTCACATTGGTACACCTGATCCCATGACATTTCATGAATATATACTTGAAACATACAATCACGAATAGACATAAAGATGAGAAAACAAACCTGCCTTGCAAATTGAGGTGAAGAACAGTGCAAAATTCTGCATGATACCATAAACAAGGGGGAAATTTTTTCAGAGATGCTTTACAAGTAACTTAGTAGTATGTCCAGATTCAATTTTGCCATAATACAGAGACTTACTTGTTCCTCACTTGAACCAAATTAATATTCCTCAAGAATATTTGTAGTGTTCCCAAACTGAAGGGCTGCCATCTGTGAGCACAAAAAAGACAGATACACGCACATAGAAACACATACAAAACACAACACGCACACACAAAGACTCAAAGGCAAACAAAAGCACACAGCACAGAGTACAGACACAGAGCACACAGAAATGAGCACGCAGAGCACACAAACACAGGCACACGCACAGGGACATAAACAAAGTTGTTGATATAAGAAAAAGTAGGATAGAAAACATAGGAAGAAAACATAACCTGAACTACAGGATGAGGTTCATGCAAAAACTCAAGAAACTTATTCACAACAGCTTTTAGAAACTTCCAACGAGCTCTTAAAAACCGAGGATACTGTCCCACAACATACCTGCCAACAGAAGCAATGACATATTATTAAATAGAGGTATAACATCATTTAACATCGAGCAAATCAATACAAAAACATCCCTTACATGATATTAACAATAACAATTTTGTTATCTTTTTCTGTTGTGATTTCACAGAGATATAAAGGATCCCAAATGACCATGACAAAAAATATGTATTCTTGCCATATTAACATGATGTGAGTAATAGTTGTTTCAAAAAAATCACAACCAAAAGATAAACAAAGATACCTGTCGTGTTCTCAATTTTTTTTTTAATTTTCCAAATATAAAGGAGTCAGGTTCTTCGGGCCTATATCTTCTCTAGTGCGTCTTTTATTAAAACAAAATACAATTACCTATAAAATAAAATTTTAACTGGATTGTAGTAATATTTTTATATGTATTAGCTATGTATACTATCATTTATCACACTTTGAAAACACAAGTTTCAGCAATCATAAATCATAATCATAACATAAGAAATAGACAACCATAAGACATGAATGTCAACATCATCATACCTTAAAATCCTTGGTACCATCTACATATGGGACGTTAATAAGACATTCAAGACCCAAAAGAAAAACAGATATATTCTCTTTACTAGATTCCAGAATTCAAATGTGAACCTGCATAAACAGAAGAACAGTGCAATCACAGATTACATGATACCTTAAAAAAGGGGCAAATTTTGTCAGAGATGCAACTTAGTAGTATGTCCGGATTCAATTTTGCCATAATACAGAGACTTACTTGTTCCTCACTAGAACTATATGAATATGCCTCAAGAATATTTGTAGTGTTCCCAAACCTAAAGGCTGCCACCTGTGAACACAAAAAGGACAGATACACGCACATAGAAACACATACAAAACACAGCATATACACACAAGGACTCAAAGGCAAACAAAGGCACACAACACAGAGTACAGACACAGAGCATACAAACACAGGCACACGCAAAGGGACATAAGATAAGCTATTGACATAAGAAAAATTAGGACAGAAAACATAGGAAGAAAACATAACCAGAACTCCAGGATGAGTCTCATGCAAAATCTAAAGAAAATTATTCACAACAGCTTTTAGAAACGTCTAATGAGCTCTTAAAAAATGAGGATACTATCCCACAACATACCTGCCAACAGAAGCAATGGCATATTATTAAATAGAAGTATAACATCATTTAACATCGAGCAAATCAATACAAAAATATCCCTTACATCATATTACGTGCAATAACAACTTTGTTATCTTTTCCCGTTGTGATTTCACAGAGATATAATGCATCCCAAATGACCATGACAAAAAGTATGTATTCCTGTCACATAAACATGATCTGAGTAAAAATTGTTTCAAAAAAAAATCGCAACCAAAAGATAAACAAAGATACCTGTCGTGTTCTCAATTTCTTTTCTTAATTTTCCAAAAAGGAAGGAGTTGGGTTCTTCGGGCCTATATCTTCTCTAGTGTGCCTTTTATTAACAACGCAGATGAATTCTCTTTACTGGATTCCAGAATTCAAATGTGAACCTGCATAAACAGAAGGGTATCACCACACTAATAAAGATGTTAACAGACTTGAACACTGATCAAGCAAACCGAAAAACTATGAGCAAAAAATAGATGAAGAGGTGCTACACAGATGTGAAAAATAAACTAATTGACATGACAATTCGGTATATATAAAGGTGGGTCCATTCTCAAACATAACACACGCATGATATGGTTCACATACACAAAGCGTAAAAAATCCCAAAACCAGGTCACATTATTTCACCTGATCCCATGACATTTCATGAGTATATACTTGCAACATACAATCACAGATAGACATAAAGTTGAGAAAACAAACTTGCCTTGCAAAACGAGGTGAAGAACAGTGCAAAATTCAACATGATACCCTAAACAAGGGGGAAATTTTGTCAGAGATGCAACTTAGTAGTATTTCTGGATTCAATTTTGCCATAATACAGAGACTTACTTGTTCCTCACTTGAACCATTTGAATATGCCTCAAGAATATTGGTAGTGTTTCCAAACTTAAGAGCTGCCACCTGTGAACACAAAAATGACAGATACACGCTAATAGAAACACATACAAAACACAACATATACACACAAGGACTAAAAGGCAAACAAACGCACCCACCACAGAGTACAGACATAGAGCACACAGAAATGAGCACGCAGAGCACACAAACACAGGCACGCACGGGGACATAAACTATGCTATTGATATAAGAAAAATTAGGACAGAAAACATAGGAAGAAAACATAACCTGAACTCCACGATGAGTCACATGCAAAAGCTCAAGAAAATTATTCACAATAGCTTTTAGAAACGTCCAATGAGCTCTTAAAAACTGAGGATACTGTCCCACAACATACCTGCCAACAGAAGCAATGGCATATTATTCACCAGAGGTATAACATCATTTAACATCGAGCAAATCAATACAAAAATATCCCTTACATCATATTACGTGCAATAACAACTTTGTTATATTTTCACGTTGTGATTTCACAAAGATATAACACATCCCAAATGACCATGACAAAAAGTACGTATTCCTGTCACATAAACCTGATCTGAGTAAAAATTGTTTCAAAAAAAATCGCAACCAAAAGATAAACAAAGATACTTGTCGTGTTCTCAATTTCTTTTTTTAATTTTCCAAAAAGGTAGGAGTTGGGTTCTTCGGGCCTATATCTTCTCTAGTGTGCCTTTTATTAAAACAAAATACAATTACCTACAAAATAAGTTTTTAGCTAGATTTTAGTTATATTTTTATATGTATTAGTTATGTATACTATCATTTATCACACTTTGAAAACACATAAATCATAATCATAACATAAGAAATAGACAACCATAAGACATGAATGTCAGCATCATCATACCCTAAAATCCTCGGTATCATCTACATATGGGACGTTGATAAGACATTCAAGACCCAAAAACAACGCAGATGAATTCTCTTTACTGGATTCCAGAATTCAAAAGTGAACCTGCATAAACAGAAGGGTATCACCACACTAATAAAGATGTTAACAGACTTGAACACTAATCAAGCAAACTGAAAAACTATGAGCAAAAAATAGAGGAAGAGGTGCTACACAGATGTGAAAAAAAAACTAATTGACATGACAATTTAGTATATAGAAAGGTGGGTCCATTCTCAAACATGCCACACGCATGATATGGTACACATACACAAAGCGTAAAAAATCCCAAAACTAGGTCACATTATTTCACCTGATCCCATGACATTTCATGAATATATACTTGCAACATACAATCACAGATAGACATAAAGTTGAGAAAACAAACCTGCCTTGCAAAACGAGTTGAAGAACAGTGGAAAATTCAACATGATACCCTAAACAAGGGGGAAATTTTGTTAGAGATGCAACTTAGTAGTATGTCCGAATTCAATTTTGCCATAATACAGAGACTTACTTGTTCCTCACTTGAACCATATGAATATGCCTCAAGAATATTGGTAGTGTTCCCAAACTTAAGGGTTGCCACCTGTGAACATAAAAAGGACAGATACACGCACATAGAAACACATACAAAACACAGCATATACACACAAGGACTCAAAGGCAAACAAAGGCACACAACACAGCGTACAGACACAGAGCACACAGAAATGAGCACGCAGAGCACACAAACACAGGCACACGCACGGGGACATAAACTAAGCTATTGATAAAAGAAAAATTAGTATATAGAAAGGTGGGTCCATTCTCAAACATGCCACACGCATGATATGGTACACATACACAAAGCGTAAAAAATCCCAAAACTAGGTCACATTATTTCACCTGATCCCATGACATTTCATGAATATATACTTGCAACATACAATCACAGATAGACATAAAGTTGAGAAAACAAACCTGCCTTGCAAAACGAGGTGAAGAACAGTGCAAAATTCAACATGATACCCTAAACAAGGGGGAAATTTTGTCAGAGATGCAACTTAGTAGTATTTCTGGATTCAATTTTGCCATAATACAGAGACTTACTTGTTCCTCACTTGAACCATATGAATATGCCTGAGGAATATTGGTAGTGTTCCCAAACTTAAGGGCTGCCACCTGTGAACACAAAAAGGACAGATACACGCACATAGAAAGACATACAAAACACAGCATATACACACAAGGACTCAAAGGCAAACAAAGGCACACAACACAGAGTACAGACATAGAGCACACAGAAATGAGCACCCAGAGCACACAAACACAGGCACACGCACGGGGACATAAACTAAGCTATTGACATAAGAAAAATTAGGACAGAAAACATAGGAAGAAAACATAACCTGAACTCCAGGATGAGACTCATGCAAAACCTCAAGAAAATTATTCACAACAGCTTTTAGAAACGTCCA